TATATTACAGAAAATAATGTTTTATCCATCTTTATGTATTTTCAGACTTAATTATTAAACCTTGGTTATATCACCCTAGAAATCATTATGCTTACTGTGGCCTTTTCTTTACATGTAAAATTAATTAAAATAATTTGATTTTATAGGTAGATAAATGAGGGGCAGAGATTACTATATCTTTAAACCTTACCCTGATTAAGAAGACCTTAGTAAAATTATTAGGTGTTCTCTGATCTGTTGTTAGGTGTCGAGTACATCCTTAAATATTTTAATCTACAAAATGATTTTGGAAAATGTGCCTCCACTGGAAGGGTCCTTGAAATAATTTCCACTTGATAGAGATTTATCTTGAAACTATCTGTCATATGATGAAGATTAAATGAAAAGTCCTCTTGGTATTAAAGTCCATTAAATTATACATACAGGACAGGGCAGGATGGAGAGGATACATATGAATATTCAGTCACATCGAAATTGAATATTTTTATAACAACTGATCGTGATTTGCTGTACTGAAATAAGCTAACTGGTCCCTTACTTTGCTGTGTATAAAATGAGAATTAAAGAGTTTTGTTCTTTGTTGATTATGTGGGTACAGCCTGTTTGTGTGTATGTCTGGTAAAGAAAGCAAAGTTTCAATGCATGTCACATACACTGGAGTCAGAGGCACTTCACAGGGGAAAGAGGATTGATGGGTATTTGGGGCATGGGGTTGGAGGGCCCAGGACTTTCAGGAACTTTATTGTTCTGCTTATCTCTGGCTATGCGTATCCCCTGAGGAATTTTGTGTACTTAGGTGGGTCTACTTCTGTCCTATAGAAAACCTATGCACATCCAAAGGAAACACTGCCTGGTCCCTCAGTGGGGTTAACTACTGATACTAAAGGAAAGGACAGACCAAGGTTAGCACTAATGACCTCTCTCCTTACAAGATGGAATGATTTTAGCCAATTGCGGCTTCAACTTAACCTTTTTTGTTAGTTTCTCATTCTTAGGGAGTAGGGTGACATTCTGATCTGACACTTGCTGATTGAGGACCTAGATGGGAATGCATAAGGAAACTGGCTACGAGGGGTCTCATAAGTCAATAGGAGTCAGTGACTTTCTGTTGCATTTGGTGGCTCCTTTCATTCTGTAGAGGATGGTGGTGTTGTTGTTAAGTGCCGTTGAGTCGGTTCTGACCCATAGCGACCCTGATCCAGGGTTTCTGAGGATGTAAATCTTTACGGGGGTAGAAAGCCTCATCTTTCTCCCGCGGAGCAGCTGGTTCACAACCCGATTCGTAACCACTAGAGGATGGTTGTTGTTGTTGTTAAGTGCCTTCCAGTCGGTTCCGACCCATAGCGACCCTGTACAGGGTTTCCTAGGGTGTAAATCTTTACTGGAGTAGAAAGCTTCATCTTTCTCCCACGGAGCGGCTGGTAGTTTCGAACCACTGATCTTAAGGTTCGCAGCCCGATTCGTAATAATGCAAAAATGTTAGCTGCTTGTTAACATTCTTACAGTTATGCCTCCTGTGATTATCTTAACTAGGCAGCGTTGTTAATGTTATTTTGGTAAGTGCTGTCAGGTCTGTTGGACTAAAAGAGACCCTGTACAAGTTTCTGAGGTTGTAAACCTCTAGAAGGGAGCAGAAACCTTCATTGTCCTTTTGCAGATCAACTAGTGAGCTTCAACTGCTGATCTGTAGTTCTCAGCCCAGTACTTTTCCTACAGAGTCACCATTCTCCCTTCTAGACAGGGTTATTGTTGTTATGTGCTGGTGTGTCAGTTCCGACTCATAGCGACCCAGCTGTGTAGGGTTTCCAAGGAACAGCTGGTGAGTTTGAAACATCAACCTTGTGATTTAACTGACATTGAGGTGGAGGCCTTAGTAAGCAAACCCCACATGCCTCTGCCAGCAGAAAATCACGGGTAATGTCTAGGCACGCTCCTCCTATGTTGTCAAGTGCCATTGAGTTGATTCCAAACCATAGTAACTCAGTGTAGCGTTTCCAAGGAGCAGCTGGTGAGCTTGAACACCGACCTTGCAGTTCAAACGGCTTTGCAGTTGGAAATGGCTCAAATCCACTCTGCTTCTGACTCTGGAACTCCCAGCCACCAGAAGTGTGTGAGGTACTCCAGAAAAACTGGCATCTGAACCCTTGAAGCTAGGCACAAAGTCCAGTTACAGTTCTGTCTGACTGGAGTCTGTTGCAGACAAATTGGCTTCATATTTCATGCTTTAAAGCATTTCTTCCTGTTGTCAGAGGCTGAGGGCGATCATTGTTGTTAAGTAGCGAGGAGTTGGTTCTGAGTGAGCCTGCACAGGATTTCCGAGGCTGTAAATCTTTATGGGAGCAGGAAGCCTCTTCTGTCTCCCGCGGAACAGTTGGTAGTTTCGAACTGCTGACCTTGCAGTTAGCAGCCCAACTCGTAACTACTACGCTACCAGAGCTCCTTCTATATCCTTCCATTAACTTCCTGATATACAACTGTCTTAAAACTTGGACTTTGATGGCTTCCTAGATGGCGGCTGTAGCAAGCTCTTTAAACTCATAGTGGTCTTTCACTAGATACCATCTGATCTTTTCATCAGGACTTCAAACAAGAGTGATACATGTGGTAAGCTGTAGAATTGAGCAGAGCCAAATGCATACCCCCTTTGCGCAGAGCTCTTCCACTCTTCAGCTGGCAGCAAAAGCCTACTATAACCAGAATGCAAATTAAAACTATTATTACTCCTTTTTTTTTTTTTTTTAAGGTTTTTTTTGTGGATTAAGTGAAAGTTTACAGGGGGCAGATCATCAGTTTTACATTCAACAAATCATACACCTTGTTTTTCACAATGATTATTGTCGGGGTCTGACCTCGACATAGTTGTTTGGTTCATGAGGAGGGGAGATCCAGCGGCGATAGGGATAGCAAACAGAAGAAGGGAGACAATGAGGCACCCCAAAGCTAGGGTGGATACCTCACTGGTGGGCAGGCTTGGGACTACTGGCATCATGGCCTCTGCAGGCAGCAATTCACTGCCCTGCAGTCTTTACCGCATGCCTTCCAACCTGTAATGCACACCTGGGGAGGCCCGGGTCTCTGCTTTATTTAGGGGAGGAGCTTCCCACCAAGCTGGGAGGGACCAAAACAGGGTACAGCTAGCATCAGTACTTTTCCAGACATTCAGGTAACTTTACATCGTACTTTGCTGGTTCGAATCCCAGGCCAGCAACTTGGATTCTCAGGCTCAATTAACATATCTATAGCTCCTGAGCTCAGGTGGGGGAAGGTGAAAGTTAAGGACAAAAGCTTGGGTGGAGTCCGGCTTCCTGAGCCAGGTCTGCAAGAGGACTCTAGAAGCCCAGGTGAATGGGCTGCACCTGGAAAAGGATTAGGGAGGATGGGTTTTTTGTCTATAGAACAAAGAACCGAGAAGTAGCTAAGATATTTTTAGTTAATCCTTTTGGAGAAAGGCTTGACCTTGCAACTTTTAGTTTTAGGCTTCAGGAAAATAATCACATTTATCTGTGGATTATCAAGAGCTCCGTGTATTAAATTAATACATGTAACAATATTAAGATGAAAAACAATTTGCCATTAACTGCCAGTGGCCTCATTTGTTACACTCGGGCCTATAGGGCCTCGAACCTCTGACCAGTCTTACAAGGTCCGCAACAGATTATAATCCCTACCATGTACCATTAGTTAACAGTATTTCTCTCTATTCACTTTAGCTTTATTTTAAAAAACAACATTCAGGCATATATAATGATTTACACCTCCAAAGAGCACATCCTGCATGCAAGTCGGCCTCCTGGCCACCTGCTTAGTCCCTCTCTTCCCATGAATCTAGAGTTCTCAGCTGCTTCCTCTCTCTGTTTCCATCTCTGCCTCCAGGTAGATGTGATCAGGGGATGGACTTTGGTTTTCACTCTTCTTCCTGAGAAATTTTAAGATGCCACTGTTGGTCTTTGTGACGTAACTCAGGATTTAAATTTTGGCCTGTTTCCTTTTCAATCTGCCTGTCTGGCTCCACAATCCCCATTCAGGCCTTTTTCCTAGCGATAAACAGTTAAGGGCATGCTGTGGCCATTTTGCACTCTTGTTTGGTTTAAAGTGGAAACTGTCACTTTAAATTCCAAGGAGATATGTGTGTGTGCTTAATAGAACCCTCCAGGGGTGGGGGGGTGGGGTGTCCACTCTCTCAGGTTCCCCCTCTAGTACTATAATGGAGGTGCCCAACCAGTGAGAGACCAATGAACAACAACAAAAAAAGAGTGCCCACACCATTATCTCTGCAGTTCTGTCAGGCTCTGCTCTGATCCTAACCCCTGCTTGGTCTTGTCCCAAGTTGGTGGCTATGGGAGCAGCTGAATGTCTTGGATTATAAAGCAGTGGATTTCTTGCTTCTGCTATCAATTCCCCTAGCTGTAAGCCTTCCAACTTTCTAAATATTCCTTTATATGTGGTTCAGATTTCTGACACTATCCCCTGAGCCTGCTTGGTCCGGTATTCTGTGTAGTTGCTGATGGAGCTCCTCACTTCACTTCTACCCACCATCTTGTTTGTTTGCTCAAAGATTTTATTTAAAAAAAAAAAAAAAGAAAAGAAATATATATATATATATATATATATTATTACTCTTTACGAAGATCATCTATCCCATGTGATAGTTTACTTTTGTGGGCAAATTTGCATCTTGAGAAATTTACATAAGTAAACTTTGTACAGTATTCACTTTGTACAGTATTCCCTTTGTACAG